CATACCCTACATACTTTGTCACTCGATTTGCATTATCTTTATAGGAAACAGGATGTAGGGCAGCAAGAATAGACAAAACAAAGCATTTCTGATGATTATTTTTGACATTTAAGATTGCTGTCTTATTTTGTAAGTACTTTGGCAGTGGAATGTAAGAGCTGGCTGACAGGGGTACATATTCTGCTGTATTTACTTCCAAATGCACTATATGATCTAAAATCCAACCACTTCCCTCGGCCTGAAATTCCTGTGTTGATGTATATAATTTTTGAAACGCCTGAGCTATTTGATCATCAATTTCCGAAATATTATGAGTCCAAAAGTTTGTAGATCTCACGACCGGATCAGCTAAATGACTCTCGTTATTTTCGTCATATTTGACATACTTTAACTTAAGGGTGGGAAACCATTTCATACCTTTCTGATCTTCTAAAAAGTCATGTAATATATCAATGATATTGGTTCGTTCATCAGCAAAGAATTGCAGAATATCTACATGGTTGACATCACTCGGAGTCAGTGTTGTTGTCCTCAGTGATCCCGCGAGAGCCGACCTTCCCCCAACCTGATTACCTCTACACAGGTGTCTCTCTCGTCTAATCTATTGCATTCATCCACTCGTTGACTGTATAGCCGCTCAGGGACAGGGCGATGGCATGAGATGCACTCACGACCTTTCTTATCACAGCTCTTACAGAAGAGTTTTCCAGGTAAAATACACTTGAAATGACCACACCAATTGCATGTATCGTATCTTGCAGGGGAAAGGAGGTTTTCAGGGGAAGAGGAAAACCGAAGACGTTTCTTTGGAGACTGATTATCTTCTCGGGCTGGCCTTTTCCAGTTACATTGATGTCTTTGTAAGCTATCACGTCTGCTAAACATGACCAAACAATTCTCACACTGAAAGTTTTCCTTGGAGTGCACTGTACGCTTATGTCTCATTAAAGTGAAATTATTTTTGAAGACTTGGTTACAAAGATCGCATTTGTGAGAAGTGCTGCGTTGTGCCTTGTCATTGTTGTTAGGAAGTTGTTTGGACATCAGATCGATTCTCTTCAAGTTTACATCGGGATCAATGGTAAAGTTGTTAGCAGTGGCCCAAAACTCAACGTCATAGAGGGAATTTACATTTTCAAGGAAGTCTTTTTTGGTGTCCATTCTGTTTGTAAAGATATAAAAGAAATGATTCTTATTTCTATAAATATCTTTTTCTTGCTTGTATTTTTATTTCATATCTTACACTCAACGGAATACACATGACACTTCATAGAGTATTATGTATAGTGAATTACTGTAAATACATATGAATGCGTTTGTTATTCAGTTTTTAAATTCAGGATGAAAACTTTATTGTAACTCAAACCATAGCAATTGTAATTGATTTACGGCCTAACGGAGAGGAAAAATGCCTGTGTAAACTATACGACACATTGTATTAACCTACTTAAGAGTTCATATCACACACCTGTATGGTTAAATAGCCGAGCCGAGTGTAGAAAGCTTGATATGCTTGAGAGTGTTCTAGACACGTCCTTCTCTGTCAACTGTTTGTTGCAAACTGATGCTTAAATAGAGCGCGCAGCCGTTATCAATAGATTGACCCTCTCCCCACACACAGTGTTTACTCAGGTGTGGCCTATATCCTACACACATAATGTCAACTGACTGCCGCCAAATGACGCTTCTATTCAGCCCACAGCCGTTTTCAATTGGGTAGACCCTCTCCCTGCTTGTATACATAGTGTCTCGCGTATATGATTGCTGGTGATACTGATAGAATACATGGTTTAAATATGTGATAATATCTTAATTCTACAGATTCACTCAAATTGTATTGAATAAAACATGACAGTGTTAGTTTGTATTTCTACATAGCATTAAACTATTTGGTTATTTCTAACATGAATACTACATCCCCTATGGTATACTGCACTAACTGTATAAGGTTCATTGCTCACACACAACAAATCTAGTCAGGATAGTGTGACCTATTTTCCCGCGTGGATTCCCCTCCACACCTGGCAATCTCATTCGGGCTTTTCCTGTGACGTCATCGTCATTCCTGTGACGTGCTTCTGTCATTTTAGTATTCATCAGTTGTATATTGTTTACATGTTGTGCATAAAGCGTTCCGGGACAGTGATATCGATTTTCTCCTTTATTCCCACAAGAGCTAATTCCCCGTCAACATGCGCGTTGACACTTCATTCATCCCTGTCCGCCCAACTGCGAACGTTTCAGATATGACATGTGGGAAATAATCCTACAATCGTGTGATAATAATAATAATAATAATAGTAATAATAATCGTATGATAACGTCTCTATTGTTCACAATGGGGGCACGGGTGGCCCAGTCGCCTAAGGCGCCACAATTCGCTGTATGCGTGTACCTTGGGCACTTTCAAAAACTATGGTTGTAGGTTCGAGTCCCGATTATGTTTCTTGGTTTGTCAGCACCATACCCGTGCTCGTGGGTTTCACCAAAGTGGGTTATGTCGGAGACCTGAATCACTTCTGGCCTTGTTCCCACATTAAGCTCACACGTGATATAACTGGAAAATACTATTAAAAGCGACGTTATATCTAACTCACTCACTCACTATTGTTGACAATAACAACCTAAGTCAGTTATTTAAATATGACTCAAATATCGTGAACAGCCTGCTTAACAATCAAAATGGATGCTGTCGAAGCGTTTGCCAAAACGTTAGCCAACAGATGGACCTGGAGTATGTCTTTCGGAGTCAGTGAGTGATGTGGTCATAGGTAGAATACACAAACTTAAAAAGAGGAAAAAGTAATTTGAATAAACTCATTAGATCACAGCCAGGCGTCCCACGTGACAGATATGTCGTTCTTTCCATCGACAAGGCCTCCGATAACATCACCGTTATGTGTCAGCATTAATTATGTGATCAAAGAACTTGGTATACGACCTCTCTGACCTTTGTAAAATTAACTCCACGAACGTGCAGTAGCCAGAGGCTACCCATGGAGCCATTAGGACAACGCAAGGGAAGGATGCCCCTTCCTATTGCACTATAAATGGGCGGGCACCAGGTTTAAGCGTGGCAGGAAGAGCCTTAAAGACGATCCCGTGAGCAGATCACGAATACCAGAAATCCTGCTGCTAGTTCAGTCTAGTTCACTACAGGTCATCTATGATTTGACCTAACTTACTGTCATATGTACTCTTCAATTATTGGAGGAAATAAAGAATGTCTGTCTGTCTGTGTATTTTATTGTTTCACACTGATTGTAATTGTTTTACATTGTTTCTGTTGAGATTCGGTAGACGCTCAATGCATTGTGGACAGTGATCAGTCGTCAGAACGTTACTATTTTAGATGCTCGTGTGTTAATAACCGCGGACGTTGATCGTATGTTACAGAAACATGTTGAATGTTCCAGTGCCGCTGGTTTTTGAGGGCACTGTGTAGAAATTTCCAGAAGCTTGTTAGGTTGTGTATATGTTGGGACAATAGCGTGTTTAGATCTCTCTCACGCATTTCATCACATTGGAACCAGCTTTCATGTGCGGATCACTCATCATTCCTGATTCCCCACCTAGCTCATCTCGGAAGCTTAACCACTGTCGCCGCTGGTTGCATATGGATTATTATCACTGACTTTTGCTGTATTTCTGTATATGATACTGACCACTGCTGTCATATATATTGCAATTGAATATTGTACTACCTTTCCATTGTTTACTGTGATTGTTATTGCTGTGCAGCAATTTGTGTTGATTTGTAAACCTAGTTAGTTTTGCAATACAATTGTTAATTTTATAACATTTGTTGGTTGTTTGTTGGTTTCACACTAAGTTCTTCACGTACATATTTCCACGTCCGAAGTGGTAAACGTCTGAGACCTACATCACTTCTGGCTTTCCTCCCACATCAAGCTTACACGCCACGATATAACTGGATTACTGTTAAAAGCGGCGATAAACCCAACTCACTCACTATTTCTAGGTTGATATATTGTTACAATTTTGGAATCGACACTTAACACGTGTAATTAAACACGCACCAGACACAACATTTCTCATGATAATCTAGCTCTGTTTGAAGCTGATCCAGAAAGGTGTTTGCTACGATTTGTGACTATGTATAAAACTTGGGTCACCGGTCAAACAGTTGAAGCAACTACCCGAGGCGCCGAAGACTGTCCCATCAGCTGGAAGTGTTATGGCCTCCGTGTTATTGGACGCCGACGGTGTCATTATAGTGGACAATCTTAAAAAAGGCCAAACAAGACACGGAACATTCGGGCGAATACGAGATAAACTTAAAACTAATAGGAAGCGGAGGAAAGGTGTGATCTTCCATCAAGACAATTCGCCAGTGATCAACACAGTTCCTTCCATGGCTACTATAGTCAACTGTGGATGTGAAGATCTTCAATATCCCCCTTATTCTCCTGCGTCTGTTTTTTTTTGGAAACGATTTTAGTTAAGATTAATCTTAACAACTAATTGCAAAGATAAATATATCTTAATTTTACCATAAGCTACATTTTCGGAACTACCACAGGTAGCATATTGGTTAGATCTATGACACTTATCGTTACTTTCACAAATAATTGTTGTTTTGTAGATTGAAAAAGAGGAGTGTTTCCCAAAGACATCACTGGGATTTTCCCGCATCACAACTTCTGGTGTTTTAGTACGATATGTGAAACAGAGTTAAATTCGCCCTAATGCTGTCAACACATGTTTATGTGCCTCAGAAATACCATTCAGTGTGTCATTATACGACACTGACCGATTTAAGGCTTTGTTTATAAACAGCCGTCAACTGCAAATGCACTGCAGTAAATGTAACATGATACTTAATTACTACTGTACTACTATACTGTGGCTACTCTTCAGGACAAGTTTAACTTAAATATTCAGCGAGACATTTTGTTCTGCAAATCAGAGCGGCAATTCCGATGCATATAAAACATATGTACAACTTTCTTATTATGACATGTTATGTTTCGTTCTAGGTGCTGTGAACACCACTGTGAAAAGACTATGGACCAAAAGGACAGGCCACAAATATATGCAAATGCGGATTATGGTATGTACGAAAGGCTGTTAGCATCTCCTAGAAATCTTTGTCCAGTTTCTATATCTATATCAGTAAGATACAAAAATCAGGAGGATATGAAATAGTGCATCAAATAAATACTAGTATTAGCGACAAAAACATAAATTTCATATTCATAAGAAATATCTGCTTTTGTGGATATGCCATCGTGGCATGGATATGACATCGTGTAATGTCCAAAATAAAAGTGTTCACTATGACGTAAGTCCTTCTATGTGAGGCTCAGAACTTATCAAACAGCCCTCATATTACACATTAACGAAGAGCATGATTTACACAGCCGGGTCATGTGCAGCTTTCCGAGGCAAGAGAGTTAACTGACTATAAAAGTCCAGTCTCAACCCTTGGTTCTGTTCCACAAAAGAGTGTTTTACTTTGCTCAGCGCTGTCTACACTTCTCTGGTCAACATCAACATTGGCCGAAATGATGGCCTTTTGTTGACAAGGATGATTCACGTATGCTGACGGCATTGTATTACGTGAAATATGTCGTCAAACCGTTTTCCTTTTGTTATACAAGTTGAAACAGTAAATGTACTGACGTTATAAAAGTATCGATGCTCACGATGTCAAACACTGGATTGTCTGGTCCAGACTCGATTATTTACAAATCATTTGCAAGTGATGGAATCGGATTGGTCCATAGGAGAGGCTTAGAAGGGACATAACGCACAATAACCACTGGTGGCGCTACGATCGAGCCCAGGAATACCAGCCTAGTTTGGCAAGGGTGGAAACTGGACTTTTTATAGTCAGTTAACTCTCTTGCCTCGGGAAGATGGATCATGTGCAACCCATATATTCCTTCATATATTTATCTTGTTTTGTTTACGATCAGTATCTTGATGTGATTTCAAACTAAATATGTTAAGGCTTAATCACTCTTGTTTTATTGAACACACGTTTATTGACCGCCTCCGTGATGTAGTGGTAGCGCGTCTGCTCAGAAAGCGGAAGGTCCGGGGTTTGATCCCCGGCCACGTCATACCAAAAGACGTTAAAAGATTGTACTTGTTGTTGCCCTGTCTGGTGCTCGGCATTAAGGGGCTGGTCGGCTCGCAGTCAGTATACTGTGTCTGAGTGGGGTATTCATGTTAAACTGTGGTATGGTATGTCAGTGAACTAGCACTTAAAATCGGCATCAGTCCGGACTAGAACAAGAACACACACACACACACACACACACACACACACACACACACACACACACACACACACACACAAATGCACGTTGCTATATAAGTTCAAAAATCTTGAATGAGACATTAAATCCCATATTGACACTGAAATGGCCATGTGTTTATTCATGACATTTGCCTAATGCAATTCATCTTACTCTTGCAGGATTAAAACGATCTCCGCCCGTTGCCGTAGGTGGGTATAGATAGGATTAAATGTAAATATGTCCAATTGTAGGGCACAGAACACAGAATAGGAACTTCTACTCGTGTTCCGGCCATCAGCAAAACTGTTGGGAACGACCGTCTTAATATTTTTTGGAGAACGAATATTCAATGTTTCAAGACATTGTGCGCAAGTTTCCCTTTTTAATGGACGTCAAATGAACAATGAGTTTATTAGTATTTTGCAAACGCGTTCCATTCCAAGCATGTATACCGAGAAATATAGGCTGCTTACAGAATGGTTCTGTTCCACAAAAGAGTGTTTTACTTTGCTCAGCGCTGTCTACACTTCTCTGGTCAACATCAACATTGGCTGAACTGATGGCCTTTTGTTGACAAGGATGATTCACGTATGCTGACGGCGTTGTATTACATGAAATATGTCGTCAAACCGTTTTCCTTTTGTTATACAAGTTGAAACAGTAAATGTACTAACGTTATACAAGTATTGATGCTCACGATGTCAATCACTGGATTGTCTGGTCCAGACTCGATTATTTACAGACCGTCGTCATATACAAGTAGCTGGAATATTGCTGAGTGTTGCATATACAACAATCAAACAAACAAACACAACGTAATACAAGTGTCTGTGAATCGAGAACAACCCAAATTGCGCCAAGAATACTCAAGGAAGCGTCGGTCCCGTCTCCACTTTGCCAGAAAACCACGGCCTTTCAATATTGATTCTACAGTAAGGTCACTATTGCACAAAAGTTGTATCCGTGTTGTTGCTTTGTCCAGTGTTAGAATGTGACCTACATGGATGTCGCGTTGAAACCCTAGACGAACTGTACAGAGGACAAGTTGTTGGCTCAGATTTTAGAATTCTAAATTATCCTTGTCACCTTTAAAACCAATGTTATACCCCCATCACACCAAACTAGCTCGCAATACCTTCGTGAAATTGTTGTCAAACGGGCCCCACCTGTGTATGAACGTTGTGGACGTAGTAGAAACTATTGATAGTCTTTTTACGAACTTTATGGACGGGCTCGGACGGGGAGGGTGCTCTAGAACTTTGAGTCTGCCAAAGATTTTATCCCGTCCATTCCGTCTTGCAATTAGTCGGATTGAAAACGTACTTAAAACGAGAAAGACGTATTACTAACGGAATTGGCGTATTGAACCTACTAGGGGCGTGTGACGACGTGGTGCAGTAGGACATAAATTTCAGTACAAGTGCACACCGATCGGGTCCGTTTGTTACTCGTTCATCCCGTTCAGTGACAAACCCAATTGACTGCATTACGTTCTTAGTCAATCCTTATTCCGTGCAAATACTTTTCAAACCAAATATAAAATTCTGAAGCAGTTTGCAACACGTTTCTACATGGTTCTAAAGGTTCTTAGTAGGTTCTCATAAAATTCTCCTAGTTTTGAGTATGTTTATGCAGTTTTCACGCAGTTCTTTCTACAACCACCCCGTCTGAAGTACGATTGGACAAGCTAGGGTACACATACAGCTACGGTTTCAGGTTCATCAGACGGGCTTGAGATTTCGGGCAGTGCGCATCCTTTCCTGACGTGAAGATTTTCAAAATTTGTGCCCAGAACCATTGATAACTTGGCATACATTAAACATTGAATGTTGGTTTTATCCATTTATGCTGGAAGTAGAGGAAGAGTACAAGGAGATGGTAGAGGAAGAAAGGAGGAGACAAGTAAGAAACTGTTGGGTGAGGAAGTGGCTGAAACCTAAGAGGAAAATAGTTGTGGGACATTATCATCAGCTGATGGAGGAGGTCCATCTGGATGATCAAGAGTCCTTCTACAAACGTCTTGAGAATTACCCCACCCATGTTTGACGAACTTCTTGAACGAATCACCCCCTTCATTAAAATAAACAAGACACCAACTACAGAAAGGCTCTGGAACCCGGTATGAAGCTTGCCATCACACTGCATCATCTGGCAATAGGAGATTCCTATGCCACCTTGCAATATGAATTGAAGGAAGCCCCAAAACGCAATATGCTTGTTGGTGAAAACATGTCTGTGAAGCCTTGGTGATGGTGCTTAAGAAAGAAGTCATCACATACCCTTTTGTCAGAGCCACTTGGGAAGAAGTTGCTGAGGATTTCCGCATGCGCTGGAATCTCCCACATGCCTATGGTGCCCTCGATGGGAAACATGTTGCCATCAGAAAGCCTCCCAGACTGGAACAATGTACCACACATACAAAGGCTTCTTTTCAGTCGTAATAATGGCCCTGGTAGATGCTGATTACAAATGTATGTGGATAGATGTCTTTTTGGAAGCCAGTCTGTTTAGAAAATGACTCATCTTCCCGAGGCAAGAGAGTTAACTTATTATAAAAGTCTAGTTTCCACCCTTGCCGAACTAGACTGGTATTATGGAGTTACATTTTGGCTGGACTAACGAGACTATGCATAGTCCAATCAAAATCGCGCACCGAAATCGAAATCTGGTTCGTAAACTGTCATGCAGAGTTCGGTCGATTGCAGGATTTGCAAAGCACGTGAACCGCCAACTCGTTGTCAACAGATGTTTTTAAATCTTTTAAATTTTTGTAATCAAGGTGCTCACATGATATGAAGCACTTTTGTCTGGGCGCCGCCATTTTGTTTGAAGCAGATGCAAGTGATACGAGAGATGGAATCTGATTGGTCCATGGGAGAGTTATAGAGAGACACAACTCATAACAGCCACTGGTGGCGCTACGAGCCCAGGAATTCCAGCCTTGTTCGGCAGCTGTTGCCAGTGACTGTACAGACCATTTTTGAAGCTTGTGTGTGCCTTCTCAACCTCATCCGTACCCGAACCCCAGCCATTCAAAACATCCAAGTGGATGCTGAAGATGCTGCACACATCCTCATCCCTTGCCTGGAGACAAGGTGCCAACCTGCCAGACTGCCACTTCCCACAGGAAAGACAGGGACACTGTTGTGGCCAAGAGACAAAGGGACTATTTAAGAGTAAATTTCAACAGCCCAGCATGATGGGTGCCATGGCAGGACAGGATGATTGAACTATGAGAGCCATGATTGAAACACTGTTTGATGTTGAATTTTAGCTTATGACTTTTTAACATTCTAATGTCTGTTGGTAAAAAAATGTTCTGTTACCATCATTTCAAAATGCACATGAGATGTCAAGCTGTGGTGTAATGAAAGTTTTCTATCTGAAACGATGTTGTCTTAGTTGATTCAATCGCGTTTTCTACAATATACATGGCATTGTATCTAGACACATGCACAAAAGTTAAGCGCCACCCACCATATTTGTGAGCTGTTACTTTTGGCACTTAATGATGACTATTATGACGAGATGTACGATTGCTATAAGCCGTATATGTAAACCTCATGTGATGCAAAAGTTGTCCCAAAGCAAGTTTATCTTGTGTTCCAAAATAATATGAGCAGAAAGGAATTTTACCGAAACCCAGAAATTGAAGGATTAGAAAACATTGAAAAGCTTTTCATGACTTGGGCTTCAAGTCCAGTGAGATTTTGAACTGGGGGATCACGATGGCTGATTTTCCGGCCAAGAATGTCCCAGAGATGCTCAATCGGATTAATATCCAGACTACAGGCTGGCCAAGGAAGAGTGGCAATAGCTTCTTGACGCAAGTAAGCCAAAACTGCTCGAGATCTGGGTGGTCTAGCATTATCGTCCATGTAAACAGGTCTTGTCTGAAGAGGATGGTTGTCAAAATGAGGAAATTCCACTGGACGAAGAACGGCATCTTGGGATTGTTGGCCATTCAGGTTTCCACGAATTGTCACCAGGGGAAGTTTGCAGCCGAAGGAAATACAAATCCATATCATGACAGACCCCCCGCCACATGCTTAGGTCTTCTGAATGCTCTTGGTGCAAAACGAGTGTTACGTTGCCTCCAAACACATAGTCGACCATCAACAGTTCGTAGCAGCATTCGACACTCGTTAGACCAATGAATCCTTCTCCAGTTGGCCAAGTTCCATCGACTACGGGCACGACACCATATCAGACGATTTCGCATGTGCCTCTCAGTCAGTTGAGGACGTTTTACTGGTCTTCTGGCGTATAACTAGTCGTACATAACGCGTTATGGTCATCGTCGAGAGTCTCTGATTGGTAATCCACTGCAGTCTTTAATCTGTTGAAGTGGCAAAAAGATTTGGTCTGACTATCCTGAAAAGACGTCTATCCTCTCTGTTAGAGGTCTTTCTTGGCCTACCAGACATTGACAGCATTGGTTTGACCATGTTTGACAATCAAACGAGTGATAACACTGTGATGACGACCCATTTGTCTTGCAATGGCCCTGCATGACATGCCAACATTTTTCATACCTATCACTTGCCATCTTTCAGCGTTCGTTAACTTTCTTCTCACCATGGCTGATTTTCAACCTCTATTGGAAGGGGTATCTCACACAGAAGCAAAATGCAACCACGAGTCTGAAACTTTAATTTCACTATTTATAGGGTAGGGGAACTGCAGCAACACGTAAAGCACGCCCTCCTTGTGGTATCTGGACAAATTTGGGTTCATGAAACTATGGAAGCCTAATTCAGTCATACATCATCATATTTCGTAATTCTGAGTCGGGCCAGGACGGGCCACCACGCGAATACACACGCACTAGGGACGATCGAGATGAGGATGTCGAGCGAACGAGTTGGTCAGGTTAAGAATTAGTTTGAACTGGCTTGGACGCATTGTGAACGAGGTAGAGAACAAGGTTGAACTGGTTAAGAACGGGTTGAGAATGGCGACGGACGTGCTCGAACTGCTTCGAAACGTTGTCGGCATGCGGTTCACTTTTACATGATCTGAACCGGATACACACGGACTGCAGACTGGCCATGAACGAGATAGACGTATTGAGGACTGCTTTTGAACGAACGCGCATCGTATCTTACGCCAAACTACGCGTTCTACAGTGATCACAGCCCGTTCTAGTATTTTGTTTAGAACGGGTTAGAACAACTTTGGTGTGATGGTAGCATTACCATCAAGTGTTCAGTTGAATAGGTCTTGTTAGGATTTTAGCTCGCTGTCACTCGTCTACATATTGTTTCATGTATTATTTTATAATCACTCAATGTACGCCTTTTCCGTAGTCACAGTCGCTTGTCAGTGTTCATTTTATTCTGATTTGCTTACTGCCGCCAAATTGTGGTCTGTGTTTACAGATGTGTCTTGCAATGATATACAAATAGTTCTCTCGCCCGCACCACATTGTTTGATGTATCTTAACCTCGCAGACATAAACCGTTTAAAACGTGTTTAAACGAACTTCATTTTGAGTTCAACTTATCGTTACTTGGTAAGAAATATGTCACTTGTATGAACAGCATGTAAGTATGTTCTGCGTCCATTGTAGGTATTATGAGACCGAGAGCGGAAGCGCCGGACGCTCCAAGACCGAGACCGGAAGCGCCGTACGCTCCAGGACCGAGACCGGAAGAGCCGGACGCTCCAAGACCGAAATCTCCGAAAATTGTGAAAGCATGAAATGAGATACACTTTACTTTCTGCTTCAAGCCTCGGATCGCCACCTCATCGGAACTGAAGGGCTTTGTGGCAACTGTATAACTGTTAGAATTACAAAATGTAATACCCCCTGTGGATTTAGACCAAGGCAGTTGTATGTTAGTACTGATTAGTTTACTGCCAGCGTTTCTAACTTGTGACTATTCGCCCGTTGGACGTGTCTCACGCTGTGTTCAACTTTTATCTGCTTACGTCAAGCCTTCATGCTTTAGCTTGGTTTATTTTTAGTGTTAATGAATCCTTAAACAGACAGACATAAATATATTTTATTTAGTAATTTTGGCACCAAGGCCCAAAGTACAATGCAGTTTGCATATCAACATTTGTCATGATGTACATTAATAGATTTTAAAGTTACACATTTTTAATTATAAAGGCTTGTTTTAAAACTACATCAACAGCATGGATCATATCCTCATATTAACTGTTAACTGACGGTCTTTAAAAAATATCCTGCTACAAGGGGGAAATGCATACCATAAACGAGTATATTTTTCACATATAAGTAAAACATGGTTTTCATCCTCTTCGCCTCCTTGTAAACAATTTGTACAAACAGAATAAAATATCACCGTCTGTGAACCTGCGTCATATACTCAACTCCAAAAGAAAAGAGATGTTCGATGGGTGATATCATTAAACAGAAATGATGTAAAATTATAAAATAACTACACTTTTAAAAAGACGACGTTACATTTTATTTTACATGGTAACATTCCCCAACACGCGACTTGCGATAATTGCACGCACGTCTCTGAAAAATAGATAAAACGTGTAACACTCCTTATTACCAGAAGGTTTGAGAAGATTGAAATTGATTCATCGGACACCTTGGTATCTTATCTCAAACATTAGCTGTTCGTTTTGTAGTTTGATTTTAAGTTTGACATAAAAACACCCTGTCCCGTTTAACTCTTGAAAACTGGACGAGGGCAGTCTTACTCAGAATGTTTTTTTTATCAAGGTTACAACATTCAAGGCCTCAGTAATTTTTTTATGTCGAGGATATTTCCAAATTTGACGCATCTGTGACAAAAATCATGTCCGATTCAATTCCCTATTTTGACTTGTACTACATGTTCCCTTATTTATTTAGGTGAACAATTGACTTGCCCTTGCATGTATTTGTGCCGGGTGCCACCTGTGGAGCAGGATACGCTCACCCTTTGACAAAACTAGGTATCATCACAATTTGATAGTGATTCATATACATGTAGTTGGAATTGTATACTCGACTCTGCTTTGTCTAGAGATTTCTATTGGATATGGAAAGGGTTTTGTCGCTTTATTTACTGAAGCTGGATGGGACATGCCACGACTTGGCAGACATATTGATGTCCATCATTCCACAACGTACATGCTTCAGGAACATCACCAGTTGACCAACAGTGCAGATTATCGTCCACCACGTGGGGCGACAGCATGTGACGCTGGATAGAGAAGATCAGTTGATGGGCACGTCACATCTACGCGATAGAGTCCCACGTACAACCACAACTTCTCAAATGACGTATGGGACTCAATAGACCAATCAGCGGCCATACCCGTTACTGAATATGATTCATTTAGACTATGTTTTCAAATGTTGCAAATTTTGACTTGTTTCTGTTAAAAAAATCATTTTTATAGCATGTAACTTTCACCCCTTCAAATTCGCGTTTCTGTTAAAGTTGATTTTACATTTACCTTAACATCGTGCAAGGAAATTCCCAATTTACAATAAGCTCTGATAAAACTTTTATCTTTTAAACCAATTAAAATATATTTCAGTTTGTAAGAATGATTTTACTTGGCAGTCATTGCTGAGATGAAGTGATAGAGAAATCAAGGGCATGTATTTGTAGTTCGCGAGAACCACAAGGCTAGGCCCAGGGGTTGGTGTTCACCGAAATGCGAGCCCTGGCGATACAGAGGATGGCAACTGTCCGGAATTTAGAGAGCAATTTGGGGACTCTTTCCATGCCCTCTGATGCATTACGTCAGAAATGAAATGAAGTGTACATAAAATCACTGACACACCTTTCACTGTCAGCCCTCGTTTCGCCACGCCTATCGTGAAGACCATGGGAAATAAGATTACACAGCCTCCAGACTTGGCCTCCATGTTATTTTTTAAATCACACATTTTAGATTTAAGAGTTTCATTTTGCTCCTCTAATTCTGTTAACCTGCGATTGTAGTCAAACGTAAACGTCTCGAACTTGTCATTGAGCGATGTGATCTGAGCCTGAATCGATCTTAGCGTTATAGAGATCAGAGAGGGTGATGGGTGGACTGTCACAACACACTGGCCAGATTCGTTTTGAGGGATAGTCAGGTCTGAATACGATCTCCCGATGTTGTAGCTGATGTAGGTGGTCCGGGATTAGGACTCTATATTGCCCGCGTTTAGCATCAAAGTTAGTGACAGTAAACTTAAGCGGGGACTTGGACGGGGGTTGGGGGGGTCAAATATTTGTACAAGTATCACTTGTCCCGAACTTGTATTTTCATAATTCAAATTAATTTCTATATAAAAAAAATCCAGGCCCCTCGGCTGGCTATGGCACTTCTGTAGCGTTGGCAATGTAATCGTAATGACAGCCATTATCGAATTTGATATGAACATGCACATACAGATAGAAAGTTGCCCGCTCGGAGACCCTGCTGTGACCTTGAACCTGTGATTAACCCGATAAATTGTGTGTTTATAATCCCTGTAATAGTATCATTGAAAATGTATCACGTCCGATTTTAAACTTGGCCGCTTTGGCATCCATCTTAATGTCAACCATTTTGTTTTGGAATATATACAGTAACTCAAGTGTTTATAAAAAAGTGCAGCTTTTTCTTCATCTCACACGTCGGTGGAATAGCTTTAATTGATAACTACATATATTTTGTGATAGATCCTTGATATTGTGTCTCTAGGGATTGCTTCCATAACTCCTATCCATTTTTTCATTGTCAGTGTGTTACGTACTTAAGTTTTAGTGCTTTTAAACTTTGTGTGTTGCCTAAGACTGAAAGAAATACAAAATACGAATGCACATGTAGCGTTTCCTGAAACGAACTGAATAAATACTGTCATTCAGTTTTGAATGTTTGATACAAAAACTCAAGATTGACAAATATTATACTCGAATACTGCAATTAAAGTAATCCCATCGATAATCTCAAAAAACGTGTGTTTGTTATTTTTTATTGCGTTATACATGGCTTTCAGTTCGGGAATAATCCACGTCATCTGGAATGAAGGGATCTCGAATCTGGATCAGACAATCCAGTGATTGACATCATGCGCATCAATCCACGCAATAGGGATACGATGACATACATCAACCAAGTCAGCGAGCCTGACCACCCGATCCCGTTAGCCGCCTCTTACGACAAGCATAGCCGCCTTTTACAACAAGCATTGGTTGCTGAAGACCTCTTCTAACGTGGATCTTCACTGGTCAGGACAATTGACTATTGGAACGTCAACACCGTTTTTCATTCAGTCCTGACGATATATTTTCTTCACTCTGAATCCTTATGCAAAGACCTACATGTAAATATTAAACAGATAAGGCCATTTCACTGGTCTCGTTTATTTGTAGCATAGGTAGGCAAATCAGTGGAAGGGAATTGGCCATTGGACCATTTTTGAAATGATAAAACATGTCACCTGCGATGACACACAAAATATTGTTTGAACACCACATATGATACATGACACAAGGGATTGTGTGTTTTGAAACTTAAAACTGAGAAGATGAGAGTCTTTAATTCATCCACTCATTTGGAGATATAAAACGGTGTGGCGGACATTGCAGGCTTGAAATTCGAGGTAACGTGACCACATGCATAATGTGCCATTCAGTGGTTTTTCACATGTCCACTGAAACAATTATCTTCCTTACATGTATGGGGTCAAACACTGAAATATGTCATACATGTAATTACCACCAACGGAGAAGGAAGTTCGCTCAGCCAGAAGTGGAGATTGTGATATTAGATGGAACTGGATAATTATACATCTCTCAAATACAAATGATCGGATATTGGTGATCAGAAGCGTGGTCTGACGGACGCACCATGCTGAGTGCAGTGATAACGCTCTTTAAACCAATTGACGCACGGGTCATCCCAACTATTATCGTTCGTAGATTATGGTATATAAGGTAGGTGGAATGAATTAAGAGTATTACTGCTGACATTTGTGAAGGAACAAACATGAGAATGTACAACGCAACACTTGTCCTCAGCATTGTTTTCTGTTGGAATGTCATTGGTAAGTATGTTTCATTTTGCTATGGTCGTGAGAGAGGTGAGGTAAAATTGGGTTTAACGTCGCGTCAAAGATTCTAGCACTTATATAGCGACGTGCATGCACGTGTATTTGTGTGTATTGCTGCTTGTACTAGTCCGGACTGATGCCGATTTATAGTGCTCACTCACTGAGATACCATGCCGCAGCTTAACATGAATACCCCAGTCAAACACAGTATACTGACTCCGAGCCGACCAGTCCTTGATTTAGCCCCTTATGCCGAGCGCCAAACAGGGAAACAACAAGTACCATCTTTTAACGTATTTTGGTATGACGCGGCCCGGACCTTCTTCTCTCCGGGGCGGACGCTCTACCTCTAGACCACGGAGGCGGTCCTGGTCGTACGTAGCTGCATATTGTTAATATAGAAAATTGCTGTGTACAAGTTCCTTATTCACGAGCCTTGTACGTAGTACTGATGGAAAAAAGGAATGCAACAAAGTAACATATTGGAACATTCTGGTATAGATACTTCACACTGACAAAATAACACACAGTGAAATCAATGCATATCGGTAGCTGGTCATCTGCGTGTACGTTCGGGATGCGATATCCAACTTTGCTTCACTTTTAATGGTCTTAATTTATGTGATGGCCCGGTCATCTGAGGCGCCGCAATTCGCTGTGCAGAGTTGCGTCCCGTCGGCACGCCACAAACCTATGATTGTGGGTTCGAATCCCGGTTCTCCCCAGTTATGTCCCTAGGTTTTCGTGGGTTTCACCAAAGTGGTAAACGTCGGAGACCTGTATCACTTCGGGCTTTCCTCTCACATTAAGCTCACGCGCCGTGATATAACTGGAATACTGTTCAAAGCGGAATTAAACACTCACGCACCCACGTATTTTATGTCAATATATTTTCCCTAGGTGCAATCAACATGGCGTTATCAACATTATGTTTGAGGAAATCAGAAAATAATGATTTATCGAAATGTAGACATTATCGTCATATCACCCGTCAAACTTCCATGCTGCAATTGGCGGTACCTGTTCACGATTATTTCTCACACACAGTATTCGGAGCCACAGTGCCTCACCTGCCGGGTGACATGTCGGGAGTCAACGGACAGAGCATATTCGACTTTGACAAGAACGAAGACGGCGTTGTTAACGGCATGGAGCTGTACAGCGTGTTGACCTACCTTGACGGTAGACTCGGTTACACACCGAAAGAGGCCAGAGTCATTCTCCAATTGGCGGATACTGATGGGGATAATCAACTGGACATTTCAGGTAGGTGCAATCCTCCACTTGTTTTTGTGCAAAGGTATTTTAATATAGTGCATGCTCGTCAACAATTTATATCAGAATAATAGTTTTACCTATTCTTATAACAGTGATTCTTCATAATATCATGAATATATTTATTCATTAATAACACAGTTCATGTGTATTAAAAATGATAAATACAAGCGACAAAACATTTTCAATAATCATAAGAAATTTCTGTATGATTTCGACTATATGAATCAAATAGTGAAATTGTGACCCACCAGAGGCATAACAAACACATGCCAAGGCAAGTCAATTATTCACCTGAAAAACACGGGAACATATGGTAAATAAATATGAACGGATGATACATTTAAAAGATGGTACTTGTTGTTACAATGCCTGACGCTCAGCAATAAGGGAATAAAGCATGGGTGGTTGAAAGTCTATTTAATAAATGCGAGTGGGGTATCCATGTTAAACATGGTATCTCACTGGGCAAAGCACTTCAAAAATCTGGACTAGTGCAAACAGCCATACGCATACTTGTATGCACATCGCTTTAAGAGTGCAATAATCTTGAACGCGACATTAAACCCCAATTCCCCTCCTCTAAAAATATGAAGTCGATATTTCACTTGAGTTAATATCACTTCATGCCGCATCAGCCTTTTTCAAGGACACGATTGTTTTCAGAGTAAAGTAATGATCAGAATAATAAATAAACACATAATAAATTGAACATGTGCCTATTCCTGTTTATCAAATTTCATGACAAGTCATTGGACAAGACATGAAAAGGATCATCATGTAATCCATATAGCTCACTGGAGTATATCAATCTGCCGATGTGACGAATATTGTACATTGATAAATATATTCTATAGCGCGTTTCTGGGCGGTGGGGTAGCCTAGTGGCTAAAGCGTTCGCTCGTCACGCCAAAGACCCGGGTTCAATTCCTCACATGGGTAAAATGTGTGAAGCCTATTTCTGAAGTGATATGGCTGGAACAGTGCTAAAAGCAACATAAATGCATACTCACTCACTCACTCACTCACTCACTTACTCAATAAAGCGTTTCGTTGTGCAATATTTCTTGGTAGATGAAAACGTTAGTAGTATAAGGGAAGATATTAATAACTACATTTTCTTTTCAGATCTTCTGCAGTTGACAATGCTTGTTGAGACAGAATCACTTCAGCACAAATGACAAGTTAATAACATATATCGTATGTGACTATATTTGACATGTATTTGTAAAGTTAAGAACATATACTTTCAAAATAAAATAGTATTTTGCCCCAGTACCGTCTCTAGTTTTATTTGAGTCAAAACACAATCAACGCGGGTGGAACACTTAGGCGGTTTGGGTTGCCAGACTCAGTGCTGTAGCTGGAATACCGCGCACGTGTTAATGCTTCCTTTACTGAGCCTGTGAACATGTTCCGGTCGGAGAAGAAATTTGAACTACAGTATAGAGGTCATCACGAGAGTCTCATTTGGAATGGTAAATATCCTGTAATAAGAATAAACCTGACTATTCTGCGACATAATTTCATCCTCAAGTTTATCACAAACGTATTTTCATCTCTCACAAATGGTACTTAAACATTGCATGTTTTCCTGGAATGTGCAAGATCGGGTTAGAAAAGGTCTTCAGTGACCCATGCTTGATGTAAAAGCCACTATGCTTGTCGTAATGGCGACTATCGGGATCGGATGGTCAGACTCGCTGACTTGGTTGATGCATGTCATCGATCCCAATGTCGTGGATCGATGCTCATGATATTAATCACTGGATTGTATGGTCCAGACTCTATTAATGATAAACTGCCGTCATATAGCTGGAATATCGCTGAATGGCGGTAAACAACAAACCAACACATTAACAACAGGAATGACATGGGGAAATGTTGAGTATGGACGTGGCGAACAGACAATCCAGGA